TCTTCCCAACAGAGATAATTGCAATTTTTTCCAATCATTTAAATCCTTTTGTACCTTAACCCATAAGGCTTCATAATTATTCTTATACAATTTTGCATTAGAAGCTGTAATATAAACCCCCAAATATTTTATCTTTTTAACCATTTCAAAACCTGTAAGTGTGACTAACATATCTTTATCATCCTTAGACATATTTTTCGGTAATATCTTAGTCTTATTACAGTTAACCTTAAAACCAGCAACTTTCCCATATTGTGCAATAATTTCAACCATTCAACCAATAATTTCAAATTTCTTGTAATATTCACATGAGTGCTGTTACAATTGAGCAAATCAGGCATTTTTTAAAAAAAAGACCCCAAAGAAATCTTTGCTCAGCTAAGGTGACAGTACTTACTTGACCTAAATAAACCATGACTTTGTAGAATGTGTGAAATCAATGTCTTCTGTGAGATGTAAAATGCTGCTAAAGCTTTTGTATTTTGACCTGAACAATCCTATCTCTATGTAGATGGCGGACACTTCTGTCAGTGGATGATCTAATAGAAAAACTTGTGAAGAAGCTGCAGTTTCAGAGAGAGCTGGATAGTACATATATTTTTTATACATCAGACAATGGATTTCATACAGGTAATATATATTTATATATAAATTACTCTTAGAATTAATTAGGAGTTCCAGGTATACATTTGGAAAACTTTAGAAAAAAAATGTGATATTTCTGGGGAGAGAAATAATACAGACTCATTGGACATTATTTATTTCAACTTGGATGATCATATATGCTCCTCAGATATTCTCATTTGGAAACTCTAAATTTCAAGCCAACAGATGAGCAACTAATTGAAAATATTTCTTGAAGATCAGATAAAGTAGAATAGTAGTTTGCAAACCGACCTCTGAAGAATGAAATATTCTGCTTCAGAATTTCTTGAAAGTTGTGAGTGATAGAATTTCTGCTCTCTATATTTATAGGCCAGTTTTCTTTGCCTATTGACAAACGGCAGCTGTATGAATTTGATATTAAAGTTCCATTGCTTGTTCGAGGTCCAGGAATACAACCCAACCAGACAAACAAGGTATATTTTCCTTTGAGAACAATTCTGTATGATGTCATAACATGTATAGTATGAATTGTATGTTGAGTATAATTAATAAGAATGCAAGATATTTTGAATAGAAATAGGCTTTATAAGAACAGGTATGTAGTAAAACTGTATATGTGTAGGTAAAGCGATAGAATAGTAATTGTTTCTGAATCTGCTTGGTAAACAGTAGAAATTACATTTATTTTAATACCTGAGTATTTTTTTTAAGTTGTTATAAAGCCTCTTATCTAGTCATTGGAAGCACTTGTTACTCACATGAATGGCTAGATAAGTTTTCTATTTGCAAGCCAAGCCTAAACATTGTATTATTGCTATAAAAGAGCAAAGAAATCTTTGCAGGACTGCAACCCCCTAAAATTATAAAAATTGCTGAACACCACTCTTCCATTAATAAAATTAATCATTTTATTGAGGTTAGGGTTAGATAAGAAATGCACATACTGATGGATATAATATGGAACTAATTTCCTCACCTCCTTTTCATTCTCTCTCTTGCTTCTATTGTATCTTTTGTGTACACTGGAATGAATCTCCCTTCTAAATCCTTATATGTAGTTTTATGATTAAGAATGGGAAAAGGTTAGGCTAATAGTTAGAATTACTACATAACTATTCTGTTTATTATAAAATGGAATGTTCACATTCTGAATCGTTGGCTTTAAGCCTTCATGTGTAACACTATGTTATTAAACAATGGTAGGGCATACTAATAATCCAGAAATCATGCAATATTTGTGGGACGCCAGCAACATTTTCTAAATGGAGATTCTCAAGAGATAACTAAAATTTAGAGAATATTGGAATTCTCACCTGAAATTTAAGAGATTATGGTCAGAAATCACAAATCTCACAAAACTTCAATAACCTACAATAACCACGTGACTTGCTAATGATCCCAGGATAGTATATTGGGAACCATTATTCTCTATTATTAAAAACCAAAAAAGTTGTCTATATAATCCCAGGTGGCCAGTTATCAGGTCTAAGTTAAAGTGAAAGTATCTGCTGAGATGGAATTTTAGCTGGTGATTATATAAGTAAATGGCAAATGGAAGCAGGAAATTATGCTTCAGTTTTGTTACTTCTACAGTTTTGGCAATTTTCTAGTTTCAGTTTTATGACATTCTGTAAATCTGTAACATTGTAATTGTTTCAGATGGAAAATCTGTAATATTCTTCTTGCCTTCTAGATGCTTGTGGCGAACATTGATTTAGGTCCTACTATATTAGATATAGCAGGATATGATCTGAATAAAACTCAGATGGATGGAATGTCATTGTTACCATTATTGGTAAGTGCACAAATAGGTATTTATTTTGGTAATTTTTCTAAGGGTTCTTTAGTGTAACTGTCACTGGATTATAACAATAAATCTCTTATTTTCACACAAACCTTTCTGTCAGTACTGGTACGAATGAATTGCTTTATAGCTTTGTTTGAAGCAGTATTCTTCAGATGCAGAAAAGATAATTTCTGTTTAAACTGAGCAGGTTTGAGGTGATGCAGCTTTAGATGAGATCTTGTAAAACTAAGATGAGCCCTGTGAGTTTGAGAACCCTGGTCAAGATGGACAAAATGCCTCATCTTCCTGTGCACACTTAAGCAATGTGACATCATCTGTAAATTATTTTTCACTAGTTGGGTTTTTGATGGTGCTACGTGTTGGAAAAAGGCAACAGTTGTTCATCATGAAATTATTGAGAGGGTCTTCATATTTATTGAGTTTATTTCTATTCTAAGATTGTTTTATTGATTAGAAATAGATTGGTTAAAGAAGCTTAGACAGTCTCTGAGCCTTCAAAAAGCAATAATTCCCACTTTTGTTAATCGCTTTTTTGTTTTAGAGAGGAGAAATAAACAAGACCTGGCGATCAGATGTTTTGGTTGAATACCAAGGAGAAGGACATAACAGCAGTGATCCTACATGTCCTGCTCTTGGGCCTGGTGTTACTGTATGTAATGTTGAAAATGTTGCATTCTCTTTAGAATCCTTCATACTCTAAATTGTAGAGGGAGATGGCTGTATATGGAAATATTTAGTAGTCAAATTTTGGCTGTAAACAGGGCACAGTAAAATTAAATTTGGATGTCATTTTTGGAGGTCTCTGGGACGGACTCAGAGGTATATTCTGTTTCAGTGTTCTATACTATTTGAATGGCACTAAAATTATTCTAACACTTAGCTATTTTTATAGCACTGTTTTCCAGACTGTGTTTGTGAAGATGCATATAACAATACATACGCATGTGTAAGGACGCTGTCGACTAAATGGAATCTGCAGTACTGTGAATTTGATGACCGTGAGGTAATTTTGTCTTTGTTTTTGTAATTCCATGTTAATGGTAGTCCTTCATATATTTATGAAAATATAATACTTCTATAATTAATAATGATTTGAATTAAGCCTTTTAAAACTGTTAAAACAAATGCAGAAAAAAAATCAGGATGTTCCTATAAGATCTCTTATGCATTTACATATGTAATCATCATATGCATTTTGGAGCTTACTACAGAAAGCAGCTACAAAGATTCCTAAGCTTCTTTAAATTTATAATGGCCGTTGATTTTAATACTGTAAAATAGTAAGTCACATTTCTAAAAAATACTATATTTTCCAGAAGTTTTAAAGCTCTATTTCTTTAAAAGACAGAAATATAGTAACCATTAGCATCCATTGAAAAAGTTTGTTCTCTGTGTTTCAAAAATGTCAACATTTTGTCTCAAGAAGTTTATAAAATGTAATGATTTGCTTTCACAAGCTGAACCTTAAGATAGACCAGAAAGACATTTTATGAGCAAAGAGCATTGTCATCCTAATTCTCTTCTAGGAAATAATTCCATATTTATATTCCTATTACACTTTATATCCAATTCCCTCTTACAAAAATTTACTTGCAGCCATGTATCATTCTAATATTTATCATAGATTTAAATGTTAGTAATACATTATATTGCTGTCACATATTTTAAATATCACAGGTATTTAACTATACATTTCCCACAACATAATTTTGAAATCCTGCAATGATTACCAACATTAGCAGTAAACACGTGGCAGAGGACTGTTCTGACTTAACAGCTAGTTTCTTTATAGCTGAGGGAAGATTGAGATTAGCATGTGCAATCTACATAGGCAGCTTCCATTATAATCTTACTACGGATGTTATCAACAGTGGAGGCGGTATATTTATGGCAATAAGTGGTAAATTTAAGGTTGCAATGGAAAATTAAATGTCAGCTCTTGTTTGAAGAGATGCAGTTTCAAACCTCTGCTGAGCATTTTCAGAAGATCTGAAGTTGCTACCATGTGGGTATGAGAACAGCTGTATCAGCCACCCTAATGGTATCCACATGGTTGCAATCTTACATGAATTCATTGTTTTTGATAAAACTGATGTGCGTTATTTTGGTATCTTAGTCTGACATATTTATTTACTAGGGCTGCACATGCTTTAAAAAATATTTGAGAAAAATACTTTGAACCTATCTTTTTTTGGTCTTCTGTGTCTTTAATACCTTTGAGTGAATGAATACCTTTAATGAATAAATTAACATTTAGATGAATTTTAACTTCTAACCAAACCCAACTCTAGTGTTAGAGAATTTTAATTTCTCTGTTGGTGAAAAATAAATCAGAAGCTCTCACAGTTGACTGCATTTAGCTGATTCAAATAAACTCTTTATATTCATATAAAATTATTTACAATACCATACATTCTTCTTTACAGCAACATAGCATAAATGAAGACTTCTTACAGCAGAGACAGACCTGAGACTGAAACTGAAACCCAGCTTCTAACTCAATAACCTTTTGCACAGACTCAGTAGCACTTTCTTCACATTGGCTGACTGAGTTACCACATGACTCTTCCTGCTCATGAATATTCCAACACTCCTCCCTTCATGACAGGAAGAGACATCAGACCTATAGACTTAATACATTTTCCATAGTGAACACCACCCAATGGTTTAGTCATCATGTCTGCCAAATTATCCTCAGAAGAACAATGATGTAAACTAATCAATTTTCCTTTTACAGCTTCCCTGACATTACAATACTTAATGTCTACATGTTTACTTCTATTCTTCACCCTATCACCAGTTGCCATTTTTATACAGGCAGCATTGTCTTCAAATACCTTTACAGATTCTTTTACATTAATATTTAAATCTTACAACAACTGTACATACCATGTTACTTCAGAACACAATTCAGATAAAGCAATAAACTCTGCTTCCGCTGTTGAAATAGCAACAGTTGTTTGTTTTCTGGACTTCCATCCAATCAGAGTCCCTCCAAACAATATTATAATCCCAGAATTTGATTTCCTTGTGTTTATGTCATTTGCATAGTCACTATCGACATAACACTTT